ATTTCTCTGCTTTACCTTGAACTGATTTGTAATGCATAAAATTAATTTCTTTCTGTCATCAGTATGTTTTTGTCTAATGTCTAATTTAATGTCACTTCCAACCCACATATTCTTTCAGTATTATATTGGCACTTATCACTCATTTAACAAATTAAAATGCATAAAAATGCCTTCTCACTGTAAGATACCCATAGAACTGCACAATTAACTTGAATGAAATGCGCAAGCATTTTATTATTTTACTTTTCCATCTTGTCACAACTGTTGGACTCAGTATTAGTATTTATTAATTTGGTGCTCATTCATCTCAGTCAAACCAGCTCTGGGGTTACATTCCTGGCCTATGGTCTGTGTTTTGGTATGTTTTAATGTTCTTTCAGTCTTTCCCTGTTCCACAGTATTTCTTTTGGTTGCCTTCTACTACTCCAGCAGAAGTTTTCAGGTTTTTTTCCTTAATTGCCTGATTGTATGAGCTACTGCCCTGAGATGGACTGGCGTTCTGTCCAGGTTAGACCCTGATTCATGCCCTGTGTATCTGTGGCTTAAGATTGATGTGACTAATTGTATAAGAGGTTACTCTGTGAAGAGCTAATAATCTTAAGAATTGTAAAATGTTGATCACAAACTCAAAATATATATATATATATATATATTATTTATTTATATTATTATTCATGACATGGACCATTTGTATTCCAAGGACCAAAAAAGACTTTGGTTTGCTGATTGTCTTTTACATTTGACCTTTCTTAGTTATCTATCTCACACTTTGACTAGATTATAACTATGATTTTTCCTAATAATTTTAATAATCCTCTAATACTGGTTTTCCACAGGTGGCGAACTGGAATTGTTTGAGCTGGTTGACCATTGTTAATGAGAAAACAAGACTGAAAATTATAACCAAATTCAAGATGCTATGACAGTTAAATAAACAATATTGAATGCACCATATAATTAAATAATTGATTCAAACAGTTTGCATAATTCAAAAATCAAAATATATCCTGTCTTAGTCCTGTCTTTCAATGAGGAATAAATGTATCAGTAAATTTTTATGAATAGGAAACATTATCCATCAATATGGATTCAGGGCCCGCATTTATTCATTTCATTCCGGTAACACTTCCAAATCATTGCAACACTCAACATCTTTATTCTCCAGTGACTTTTTTGGGTTATCATCTTCAATGTCAGGAAGTGCTTCCCTCTGCATTTTATAAATTTCAGAATTTGTTTGAAATTAACTGACACATTGTACATTTAAATCAATATTCTGTGTTGTTCTACTAACATGATACTGATGATATACAGTAACATTTGCGTGTTTCAAAGGATCATACAAATCTTTATCTCAAGTTCTGATAACCAAAGTCAAGTGAAGATGATTTAAATGCTTTTTAACATGTGCCTGACAAATTTGAGTTATTCATAAAATAAATTATAGATTTTAATGTATGTTCTTCATTTGGACAGTGAAACTGAGTGAAACTGCCAAGAAAACCATTTAAAAAATAATCATAGTGCAAGTTCCATACTCTCTGACTTGTGTTTTTCAAGACAAGCTTTCTCCTTTTATCCCACTAATGTACCCATTTATTGGAAAAGGCCTGAGCCACCTGGACCCATTCAGTCCCTGTTGTGGCTATACTGCCCTTTGTATTGTGTTACACTGCTTATTATCCCAGAAGGCACTGTCTCTTATATTTTGTCACATGCTTTTGCCAGAACCTAAATCACTTTCTTCTAAAAAATTTTAATTTGAGTGGGGCGTTACTGATGAATTCCCCTGATGCATCTGAACAGTGTCCTACGTCTGTCCCACTGTCCATAGCTAATAAAGACTATTAATGGTCCCTTTTGTATTACTTCTTGCAACTATAATGTAAATCGCAGGAAAGCATTGAGCCAAATTATTTTGTTAGCATCCAATGAACATGTGAATTGCTGTCTTTCATTGCCTTGCATATATATATCCAACATAATAGGTGCCAGATTATTCAATGCCTTTCACGCCAACAATTCCATACATACATAATTTTTTGGATGCTTAAGCTTGTGATTCCAAATTCAAATTAATCTGATATTAAATCCCTCATGTTCTAGGATTCATGTCTTCTTTCTTATGCCTGCTTGCTTTTTAACGCTAAAGAAGAAGAGATGGCTTTACTTGGTACCAAATAAAATTAATTAGAAATGTCTAACAGGATATACGCTTCCTCATTTTCCAGGGAAAACAGTGGTCATTCTTTCAGCTAACACGCTCTTTGTGATGTTTTTTTTTCCTGATAATTATATTTATTTTATATTCTGCTTGAAAATAAATCTTTATTTAAATGTACATTTTAAAAAGTTTTATCAGTATGCTGAAACACCATTGATTTAGCTGTTAATCAATATTACAATACCAATTCACAGATCTGTCATTAGTTTTAAATAACTGTTATTAATTCAAACTGTTCCAAAATGGCTTTATGAATAGGGGCCTATAAGATTAACTCCGGCTTTCAGTGAGGCCCTAGATTTGATGGAATATTTTTCTAGGGAAATGAAAACATGATAGAAAAACAACTGAAGGCAGAAAAACGAACTCGGTGATCTCCAGGGATTGCCGGCCTGACATTCAGAATCAGATTGGCCAGCACTGTATCAACACTGGCACCAGCTCAGTGCAAGACATGGGGATGGTCCCTGCTGTTCTTTGACAATTTGCCATGTGAACTATGGAGGCCCACAGTGCTTTTCAGTCACTGCATGGCTTAAGAAAGGCAGCCTTTTACTTGCTATGCTATAAAACTGCATCTGTGTCCAAAACTCTGCCTTTCTGTATCTTTTGCATTTGGAAAAATAAAGCTTTGGTGGTTCCGCCATGTTATTCCTAGAAGTTATTCAGACTTAGGTGCCGAAAGCAGGTCCTCCCGTTGTATATTGTGACTTTACTTTCTTCCTTTTTTTCCTTGCTAACATGACTTTATTACATGTTTTTGTCTACCTGTTGTCTTTTATGTAATCAAATGTTCAGATGTTTTTAGTAGCTCTGTGTGCTTCAATGTTTATGTTTTTGATTTGGTTGATTTCATTATGTATTTTACTACTAGCTTGCTGCTAAACTCAAGGCTGCTATAAATAGCGACAAGAATATAGGCACAAATTAAAAAGAAGAAAAGCAAGAAACTGAAAACTAAACAGATGAAATATTAACAGTTACAGTTTGTATGGTGTCCATATTTCTGACCCCAGCACTTAGAAGGTGGGTGCTGAGGATGAAGTCAGGAGGGTCATGTTATTGGAAGTGTGACCAGTGACCTGGAATCTGTCAGTTTGTTCATGTTGCCAATCTCCTGCCAGAACTCAGTGTGGTGGGGAACAGCTCGTGTCCTCAAGTAAACTTTGTTGTCTGTCCAGTGCATAGCTTTGTCCCTTTCATGCAGCAGTATTATTCAGTTGGAGGTGAGCTTGGAAGGTTGAAGTTGTGCTTCTTCCTTTAATGATGTCTGGAAGTTGTGCTCAGTGTGTGTTGTCTAAGAAATTAACATTTAATGTTTTATTGTCCTTTGTGAGTATGTTGATAATAATAAAATGTCAAGAAGGGGAAAATGTAACAGTTACACATATTTCTGCATTCTTTTTTTACTATGTGATATTTTATTTGACCTATTATGACTTATTAGTCGAAAGACTGATAATTATAGGTCAAAACTAGGCGAGATTAGCCTGAGAGAATTTGATGTAAAACAGATATAAGTGAAAAGGCAAATGCTTATTTTTGAAGAAATAAAAGGGTGATTAGTGGGACAATGGATCAAGGTTGAGGAAGTTTCATGAAGCTTTATTTGAAAACTGAATTTAAGGCAAGAGCAAAAACTGCTCTGTTTTTGTAAGCTTTTTGTGTGAAGGTACTGCTGTTAGACCTTCAGTGTACTGTCGTCCCACTCGGGGTAACCCTTGGCTCACGGCCTGTCCTTCAAATAGACTTCAGGCTCACTATGACTGGGTAGGCAGTATGGAAAAAGAATGAATGAATGAGCAAATCACAGTCATATGGTATTAAATGTTTTAGACATTTTTTCATATTTCATATTTTTCAAATTTATATATTTTTCTGGTTAGGTTATAGGCAAATGAGGAAAACCTGACGGATTAAAAATGTCTGAAATACACAATTTTCACCCTTTTATATAATTAAAAAAGTAGATACAATAGAAACTTATCATGGTGGAATAATAAAAGTAAGATTATTAAAATTGCAAATCCTCATGTGTTCGTCTAATAGATTGGAATGTCCAGATTTCTGAATGGAATATATTTAAATCCTTTGTATAAAACATTTTTATAGTATGCGTTGGACTTCCCAATGACTATAAACTGTTAAGTTTACATATGGTAATGTAACACCTTACCATAACACCTCCATAGAACAATGTTTATTAGAGCATATAGAGAATTACCTGAACTATAATATTGTTACCTTAGACATACTACCCCAGCTGTTTCATTATTTAAAAACAAAACATAATTGTATTTAACATAACATTATTTTCATTGAGTTACAGTGAAGCTTACATTCCCAACAGTGCAGTGAGTGTAGCATCAAAATTGTTTAAGCAATACAGTACAAAATATTGAAGGAACCTATATTTGAAAACCAATAGAAATCTTTTGAGGTCAACTATGGTTCTGAAACACAGTTTACCAACCAAATTTGAAAAGAAGTTAACTTTAGTAACCAAATTTATTTTTAACTAAATAGAATGTTTACAGCAAGATGGAATCCATGAAAAACAAATTACACTTTACAATACTTTAAACCTTTACAATACTAGGTTCTGTTAGCTAAATATAATACATAAATGGCTAGTTAAGTAAGGTGTGGCATAAGCATATTTTAAGTGTATGAATAAGAGATTTTGGCCCATAAGAGATTTGATGTCCTTTGTTTATCATTTTGCAGAAAAAATTGACATGGTAAAATAAATCACCATATTCTGTTACCTATCCAGACAGGAACAGTACAGCGAACCTAGAAATGGAAGAGATTTATGTGGCACTCCAGTAGAGAATGACCCTTCAGTGATCCATAGTACAAGTAGAAGACAGAGAAAGAAGCTGTGATGTCAGATGTGATGTAGGGATGGAATGGTATGAAAATTTAATATCACGATTATGGTGATCAAAATATTCATGGTAATCAGTATTATCACAGTATTGTTAAAATGTGCTGAAAATGTTCAACAAGTACTGACATACAAAGAATTTCAAGTTTTATAATGAATTCCACAAATAAAAACAGCAGCAATATGCACTTTTTGTTGGCATAAACATTGATAATAACAAAGGCAATACTTCATGTAAACATATGAAAGCATATCAAATGCTTAATATTAAATATTAAAAAATCTCTGGAGCACTGTCACTGGCTTCAACCATGTGTCACTGACACTAAACAAACCCAGATTACATGTTGCACCTGCGTACCTGTGTTTGGGAGAGTACTGCTCACTTTGGATGATGCTGGACACTGAGCATGAGTTTTTCAAAGCGCAGTAATCAGTCATAGTTTTAATGATAATTCAAATGTGAAACATTAATCAGTAATTTTATCGTCAAACCAGTATCCGTTTCATCCCTAGTCACAAGTAAAGAGTCAGTTATAGATTAGTGCTATTCACAATTATCACAAAGCAAATCTCCTAAATCTTACATTGTTTGGTCAGCATTTTTTAATATCATTATTATGGCATTTACTAGTTTTATTTTATGCCCCCAAAAACTTAAATGTATTAATTTGTAATGCATTTAAAAAGAATGACAATTTGGTCTCCAATGTAGTGTTCTGAAAGTCTCATAAAGATCCTACATAAAACAAAGAATATAGTGATGCATTGTGGGTATCGTAGGTATTTTTTGTCTTTCACCTACCCTAACAGATGGTTTAGCATATAAATATGAAATCATTTTAATGTATGTTTATTCACTTCTAAGAAAGGTTATCTCAACAATTTTGTTGTTTTCCTAGATTTGCGCAAGGATGCCAAACCTTCCATGAGCTTCTGAGAAAACAGGGCAGTGACGTTATCATCTGCTTTCTAGTGCGGGCAAGTCTGAGGCAGTCGGTGATGTCTGGCGTGTTTTAGCATCAAGCTGCTAACCAAGTATACATAGTTCATAGAAACATATTGGTAATTGTAGCAGAAAAAACATCTTCCACGGAGTTTGACTTTGAAACAGGTTTAAAATGATAAATTCCCTTGTTTTACTATCTTGGATATTATTCTTCATAAAAAAAAGTATGGATGGGGAGAATGCCTGCAGATAGTATCAGAAGTATTTAATGATAGATTGGCATAAAACATTTGTGTTTTATTTATACATGTATTTATTTGAGACTGGGTGCAAAACAGGTGAGTGAGCTACTACACTGTATGTGTACATCCACTCATCCATCCATCCATCCAACCTCCAATCGCGAGGGGCTAGGAGCCTATTCCAGGCGGCTTAGGGCCCGCAGCAGGGGTGCACCCAGGATGAAAGTCCATTGCAGGGCACATACACACACAGCGACCCACACAGTCACTCACTACAGGCAACTTAGAGACATGTCTGTGTTCATTTGGCTGTTGTGGGGCCACAAGGTTTTTTTTTTCTCATTTATGTCATAGTTGGCATCAGGCTTCTCTAAGCTGTGGTGGGTGGTCTTAGTTCATTTGCATTAGTAAAGAGCTCTGTCTCCAGACTCATTTGTCTTCCATTGATTCGCTAAATTAGGTTGATGAGAGGCCCTCCTATCAGGTGGCACATTAATTGGGTCATGCTACATCCCATACGTGATACAAACAATGGGTGCTTAGCACGAAACCTTTCAGCTCAGGCCTGAAACTCTCTTCCACCAATTAGCCTCCGGAATAAATCTGTTTCCTGTCCCCTACTCCAAACCTCTGGATGCCACTACCCACTGGCTGTGATTGGCTAACTTCACTCAAAAAGAGTGTTGGGAGATACCAGTTTTTGCCTTCTGGGAGACAAAAAAATAACTGTGAAAAAGAAAACAGCACCATACTTTTTTTAGGCTAAATAAATGATTTATTGTACAAAAGGAAAAGGCTGAACAAGCAACAAAATAGAAAAAATACAGGTACACAACCATCATACTAACACATGGAATGAATTTTATCTGCACAACATGGAAGGAATCAAAGGAATAAAGGGGAAGAAACAGAAGCGGAAAACCTGTCTGAGCTTTGAATATTGTGGGTTCTATTTACACAGATGTTACTTATCTCATATATATGAAAACACTCTCATACATACAATTATACATTTAAACAAGTGTCAAAATATGCAGTTTTATGAATGACATTACCAGTGTTTATAAATGATCCTGGGTACAACATGTTGTTGCATTTAGTAATATTTTAAGGTATTAAGTTCAGTAGTCCTTTCAGAATAATCTTTCATTGTATTGTCCTTTTCCTTTATGAACCTGAGAGCAAAATGACCCATTTATTTGACTGAAATTTTGAATAAAACCACTTGTGAATGGCCACAGCAGAACACATTCACACACAATTGAAACTTTACTCAAATTTATTGGGGCAAGGATTGAGAATTATTTTGTGAGGTAGATATTAATAAAATGTATTTTTATTATATTTTTGTCAAACAATGTTTAGCCCATAATTTGTTTCAGATAAATGTCTACAGCCCTTTTTCCGTGTAGTGGGTCAGCAATCAGCATTTGACACTTTTTCCTTGAGTTACATCACACATCATACCCCCACTTTGGCTGACAACACCTGTGTTGTATGTGATGTGTATGTGATGTGTATGTGATGTGTATGTGATGATCAAGACGTGTTCCTTCCCTTCATCGCTGCAACTCACACTCATGTGAAAAAAAATCAAGTAGGCATTTTTCTATTATTCTGTATTCCTCAGTTCAGATATGTGACTTGAGCATAAGTGTAAGTCCACAACAAGAATCCATCTAACGGACCTGTTCATCCAAGCATTTGCATCTTCAGGTGTTGCAGTTGGTATGTTTTGCAATTAAAATTATGGGGAAATATCAGGTTTCCGCTTCAGATGAATGGGAGAAAGGTATGACAGTAACAAAAGAGGAAATGTACTCACTAGATTTTCCACACTGTGTGTTGTCAGAAGCTTTGACAGTTTCTTTTTCTTCACTTAAAATCCATAGTAAAGATCTTGTAACTCAATCAGGTCAAACACAAAACAACACAACTCCTCATATCTTTAACTTCCCATAGTGCAAAATTTATTGTTGGAAAGGTAGAGTGCCTAGAGAGGACTTTATTCCCCAAGAGATTTTTTTAATATATATATATGTCTAAAGGCTCTTCCTTTATCCAACAGCATAGTGCTTTCGTTTCCAACAAGGGATGTCTCCGTTCAGACATCCGGGAGACAGACTTCTGCTTTTTAATCTTAAGTTTTTCAAGCAATTCCAATATTCACCATACCTTATGGGCCAGGACTTTAAAATGTTTTTCAATATATTTTTTTCTCAATAAAAATCACTGTGAAATTATATTCATATCAACATTATTGACAGTATTTCCAATTTAATCCAAAATTAAATAACTCTCTCCCTTTACTTATGAGTATAGCAATCATGTTTTTCTGCCAAATATTATTGATATATAAGATTCCCTGCACCACTGCCAGTTTTTTACTCTTGAAACGTAGTATGACATTATTTTAAAAGGTTTCTGTTATTGTTTTGGGACAGTAGTTCTGCTAGAAGAGAGACTATGGACATGCATTAAATGTCTTGCAGTCAGAGGGGCAATATTTCAATTAACACAGTGAGGCTGGCTAATCCACTGGACGTGGGGCAGGGAAAAATGTAAATCAGTACTATTTGCATGCCCATATATATCCTGAACAATTAAAATATATAAAAGTATTTTGTATATTCTCTGAAACTTTGGAGGAAACTCCACCACTACGTTTTATGTGCTCAGATTGCCTCTTATGTTACTCATCCACACGCTACATTCCAACACTTCTATGTGAACACCCCTCCAGTTCCCAGCAGTTTGAATCTAGCACCTTAAAATCTTTAAACCTAATTTTTAACTAGTTATTTTAATAGTATTTAGCCTAACAAACAGATCGAAAGTATGCCTATAACCATTTTTGTTTAGAAGCCCTTCAATAAATCATGATTTATTTTATAAATGCATTAGCTGGACCCTTGTCCAAACAGAGTGCAATTGGGGCAATGGTATGGTAATTAAAGCGCTTCATTACTAGAACGTAGAGCACAGGACTTGGCTGATCATGGCTTCTGTAGGTGCCTGCTTGTTTGGACTAGCATGATATGGATTAATGACCGGTTACCCCCAAAATCCATAGCCAACACTGTCATAATAAGCAAATAGCAAAATACGGTAAACATGACTTCATCTTCAGGTATATTCTGAGTTTGGAATGAGTTTTAGATATTTTTTCAATACTTATTAGTGCCACTGCCCCTCTATTTGGGGAAATTCAGCTATGGCTGATTTATTTAAACTGATAAAGGGTTTCTTCAGCTACTGTTGTATACTGAAAGAAGCCACACTGACCACCCTTTCCTATTGACTTTTAAAGGTAGTGAAATAAATTTTTCTTTCTTTCTTTCTTCTTCTTTTTTTGTCTTTTACAAGATTACAAGTAAAAGGAGATCAAAGTAGCAGTGAAAGGGTACTTGGATTCCCAAGAATTTCACACTGAGGTGTAACCTGCATCACATTGGGGGGGGGGAGAGCAGAAGAACTGTCTTTGAATCTTTTGAACCCTTAAGTTTCTGTAAATATAGTAATTAAATGTGTTTTAAAGCAATTAAAGGTCGAAAGAAGCATCAAAGAAGTCTAGACTAGCTTTGTGTGGTTTACGAAATTATTCTGAAACATTTTGGAAAACTTCTTAAAATATTTGAGTGCCTTATCTTTTTCTCACTTCATATATACTGAATAGTTCACAGATTTCACACACAATCACGCTGTGTGGCCCCTTTCTACAGAAAAAAACATTATTTCTGCATGACATATATGCATTGAAGATTAAAATGCATGAAACCCACTTAATATTTTGGGATATATGTGGTCTCATTACCAGAGGCAGGGCCAAGGATGTCACAAGATATGCTTGAGAACCTGATAATTCGTCTGAATGAAAACCCTCAGAAATCTACAAACACCAAACAAACGATGATGTAGCTTTGTTTTCCAGCTGCTCCAAGACGCTCCCTTTGCAGTCTTCGGTAAATTTATCTAACAAGTCCCGCCTTTACTTTTTATTTTGCCCTTCTTATTTTTCCAGTTTAACTAAAACAACTATCTAAAACAATCTTCCTTTGCTTTATTTGTACTTAGCATCTCTTTCTGAGGCACATGGGGACAGGGAGGTGGGCGCGTCCATTGGAGGCTTGGGGTGGAGCAAGAATAACGTTTGGTGTTCAGGAGAGCTCAGTCATGTTAGGTTGAGGGTATTTGATAGAGTCTAAGAACAACCACAACGGTCCACCACCATTCCAGGGATCTTGCCATGGATAATCTGTTGCTTGTCATTAAAGTAGAGCATGTTGATGGGTGACATCTTTGTAGGAGTGCAGCAAGGGCCAGCCGAACCACGGGGATTAGCGTGTTGCACCAAGTGGGTGTGTGGATACTTCTGCATAAACATATACTCGCACTGACCTGAACAGTAGTTGGCTTTGTACCTTTTGGGTGCAATGATCCAGTCCCAGCCAAAGGCTTCAAAATCTACTGTCAATGGGTAGCGACAGCAGCGGGACTCCGTAGAGTGCTCATCACAGTCCAAACCCAGGTTCCTTCGTGATCGCTTGGTTGTCTCCAGTACTTTCACCTCCAGGAACGGCTGCTGGAAATCAAGGGAAGAGGGAACAGGGAATGACGAGAGTCTGTTTAGAGATGTTGACGTCTTACGATATACAATAAATCATGTCTTTCCATCACCTTTGTCCTAGCTTAACTGTTTAATTTTTTAAGCTACCTTTAAATTTTCTTTGGTTTCAGCTTCACTTAATCAAACTTAGCATCACCTGCACTTATTGCCGACTTAGCACAGCACAGTATTTATGCTCGTCTGCAATAAGAAATGTGATGCTGAAGTAAAATATTATAATGCCTTTATACATGTCAGAAGGGTTGCCGAAATAAATGGTGTCAGTATTTTTTAAATAAAGTTGAAAATTTGACATTCATTTTTATCACTTATCTACATTTTTGGTGAGTTGGTTAGCGTTTATATGCCCTTCTATCCTGCCATTTGAAAACTGTTTCATTCTGTGTTAAAAGTTTAGTTCAAGAAAATTCAAAATAAATACGAATCATTGTATTTGACAGCCAAAGCCATTTTGACATTATTAGTGTGACTTAAGCCAAGGTATGCAGCTAGTTAATATTTCTATTAGCTACACATTCATTCTCAGTTGCAAATGGTACTGTACATAAATCAATCATTTCTGTGTGTTTTGATGAGGTGGTATTTGTTTCTAAGAAAGAGACATTGGTAATTTTGTGAGAGATTTCTAGGTCTGCTCATAATTTCAGAGTTGTCTAGAATATACAGCCTGGATAAACATCACAATTTGATCTAGCTGGGTAATTATAAATGTATATAATGGATTGTTTTGACCAAGGAGGATATTTGCGGAAACTCTAAGCCGGACAGATTAAAAATGAAAATTAAAAGGAAAATAAAACTTATTCCCATCTACCATAACCACTAATTCACCACAAGGTAACAGTAAAACTGGAACTTATCCCAGGGAACAAGGGGACATCCAGGACGGGACACCAGTCCATCACAAGGCAAACACAAACACTGTGAGAATATCAGATAGTCATGTGTTTTAGACTGTAGGAGGATGGACAAACACAGCAGAAACTTTACAGCCCAAGAACTCCAGCCCAATAAATGGGAGGCTTAAGCACTACACACTGAGCCACCGTGCTGCTGTGATTTCACATTCATATCTTAGCTATATTCACATAGTTAGCACATATATACTATATATAGTCTAAGAACTATTTGTACTTAGGTCACAAGAAATGCATACAAACAGACACATCTGAGCTTCAATGACTACTCTAAATGTGTAATTCTACCAACTTGTGAAATACACTAGTGCAGAATTGTGAATGTAAATGTATCTGTGCACCATGTTATATTTTTCTACTAAAAATTTGTCAATTGTAATACAATTGTATGATTTTTGTGTGTGAGTGTGTGTAGGTGCCCTGGGTTGCACTGGCATCCCATCAAGGGTGTCCCCCCCCCCCCATCTTGTGCACTGGACTGCCTGGGAAAGGCTTCAAGTCCCCCCGTGACCCTCACCAAGACAAGCAGTTAGAAGATGGATGTAGGAAGCACAACTATATGCTTCCAAGTGATTAACATAATTATAATTGCGTGCAGCAGACTACATTAACCTTTTAAGAGAAGTACTTTACGTTGGAGGTTGCTAGTTAGTTTTCCGTTATTTTGCCCCCAGACCTCTTTTTTTCAATCAGTTGTGTAAGATTTGTGATGTGAAAGCTCGTGGTAAAGATTGTTTCATATCTCACGTCACCACCTAGTGGAAGACTGCAATGTGATTGTAATTCTGTTCAGACATACCAGTTACCATTGTTTCAGTGAAGTGGTATGATAGCACCTATTCAAGTAAAAAAAAACTACCTTTAATTATCAGTTTTAATATGACAACACCTTCTTTTCTATCCATGTAGTTCCTGGAAGAGGATCTATGATCCTAGAGTCAATAGTAGGCAAATATTGACTTAGGATCCAGTAAACTGAAAATAATGTAAGGGCACAACTATATATTTAAAATTAAATATATATTTAATGTATAAATATATATTTAAATGCACAAAGAACTTTATATTCTACAATGTGTTAGGGAATTTAATGGGACTTTGCTAATATGCTGATAAAATAAATTGTTTTGTGAATTTAAATAAACCCGTTCCTGATGTGTCATATTTGCATATGTCTTTTAATATACATTTATTAGCTGATATGAACAAATATTTAATAGTCAATCTGGATTTCTTTCATGCAGGTTTTAGGATAGTAAGAGATTACCCTAAAATTCTAATATTACAAAAAATCTTCTTCATACTTTCGTCTTTAAAATAGCAAATGACAAATGCATGTATTCTTTCAAGGCTGTGTTTACATGCTAGTCTATGGACTCAGATGGTATCAATGGAATTGAACACCTACTGAAGGCTTCGCAGAATTCTGACCTTTTGAGCACACTTTAGACTTCTCTAACTTTGACTCTTCTATTAGGGCCCAGAGGTTTTTTTTCCACAGCACGTTACACCAGCTTAGTAATGCTCTTATAAGCAAATAAGACTAATGGTCAATAGGGTCAATTCAAGTCACACTGAGCTTAGGTTTCTTTGATGAGAGAAAATCCAAGGAGTAGCAGGGAATTTTACTTCTTTGATTTTTTTGTAAATTTGTTGCTGGGTTTCTGGTCTTTTCTCCCATGTTTGAAAAATACAGGCAGCTGCTGTGTGCTGCAGGGATTGTGTGGCTGTGCCGAGCGGATAAGGTAACTTCCCCGTGGAGCTCTAACGTCAAACCGTACATCATCATGTGCCACTTGTGAAAATATCCATCAGATATGAAAATGCTCTGGCAAATCAGGAATATATAACTTAAGTAAAGTTATACAATGTGTTTAAGATTAATACTGTGACAAATACATGACAATGTAAAGAAGTTATAAACACCTAAAAATAACAACAGGGCTAAGAAACCACACATAAGCCATCTTTCTGTGGAAAGAATGCATACAGATTTTGTCTTTCAATACACCATATAGCTTTAACGGTTATAGGCCTAGTTAAAATAGGATTAATGATATTTTAAATAGGTTTCTATCTAGTTTTTGGTTAATCAACTATTTGTATAGGAGGAAAAAAGACAAGGCAGAAGAGGAAGGGACTGGATTTATGATAGTCAGATGTCTAAGGAACAGGTCTGAGGGTCCTTACCAGCCCTTCTTCACCGGGTCTCAGAGAGGTGACGGCCAGATCATTGCCACTTTCGTCAAAAGCATTGATGTCGACGCCCCAGTTAGTGTGTGGCTGCTTAAACCAGTTCTGCAGGACGTGCTTGAAGTCAATACTCTGCCAGTGGCCGACCCGGGAATTCAGCTCAATCTTGAGAGAGCGGATTCGGATGTGGCGGCTGCCTTGCTCTGTAACAGGTTTCAGCCTCAGGATCTGCAGGTAGACGGTGGAGGTCTGCTGAAGTGGTCGTAGATACACCCACAACTGAGCCTTGAGAACCTTGGTGAACATAAGCTTGGGGCTGAACTTGAAGAAGCAACAGCTTGGTTTTCCATCCACCTGCACCAATGGTTCCGCTGTTGAAGATAAATGGCAGTTAAGCGCAATGGTGCAAAAACATTGAACATTATTAATTCAATATTAACTCAACCTCAAAGTTTGAGCTTTATTGTGCAAACAAGTTTGAAAATGTCTATAAAATCTTTCTATTTTTCCTCAGTGGACAGCTTCAATTTTTTATCAATGTATTTCAAAACAATATCAATAAAGACATTCTATTTCATAGCATGATCAGATTTTAAATTTTCCTTAAGATTATTTGTAGCACCTATAGTAGTCTATATTATTTCTTTAGTGATGTTTTAAAAATGTTACATATTTTAATTACTAGATGATGATTTGCACAGCTTGCATGTCCTTAATCATTTCTAAATATGGATATTTTAAATGTAGTGAAATCCCTTTGTCAATAGTTAAAAAGCAATGCTCCTTCTGGAACTGTAAACATTTTCTTTTTGGCTCATGAATACCCTATAAAATGTATGACATCATCACAATACCTGTCCCAAGATTCTAAGGTATATTTAAAATTGTAATACATCTAATTACACTAAACTAAAATCCTTATTTTGTTATGTAAGAAGACCATTAGAATAATAGTTATAAAATCTTGCTCAAAGGAAGCATTGTCAATCTCTTCTAAATCTGAGGTTGCCATGACAATCTGTCAAGGCTTCCTGGGTCAAAATGTCACTTTGGCATCTCGGCCTAGTTAAGAAATAGGGTCAAGGGTCAAAACTGTCAGTTCTTTACATCCCCAGGGGTGCTGGGGGGTCAGTCCTAATAGCCAAATTGAGTTTGAAGGTCAAGGTCGACTAGGTATTCAGTTATACGGCGATGTTAATACAGGTTTCTTTTCACAAGAGCACGCTACGTATTTTTAAAATGTAAACTTCTCACAATTCTCACCTGGATCTATCTAATGAGAAAGAGGAACAAGTTCCAATTCAGTCTATCAAAAACATTTTGATAAAGCTTATTTATTACATAAAAGGGAACTTACACAATATGTAGTGCACTGAGAAGAAGAAACCATCCTAAGAACGTAAATCAAACCTAGCAGGAAATGACTGATACTGCATTCTTGTTTTCCAGAATCAAAAATGCACTAGATTAATTTTTGGTTAGAAGTACAACAATATAATGTTTACAAATCACAATTTAAATCCTTTGAAATAAATTCAATTATGTATATCAATGCATAATTTGTAAAACAAGATGGGAATAAAAATACTAATAAATGTTTATCATACTGTGGATAGGCCACAAATATACTGAGCATCAAAATAACATCAAATCTGTACAACTACCAGTATTCCCAGCGTATTGCTATACTCATTTTCCTTTGTTTGCCAATAGTTTTATCAAAAATGGCTGATAATTACACCCATTTGTATAGCTAGTCCCCCACCCTAGCAGTGATGATACATATACAATCCTATAAAAACAATTATAAGGTGTATGTTTTTATTTTATATGCCCTTGGGACTTAACCTAGCAACATTCAGGTTACAAATCCATGTACTTCACCGCCATATTGGGCAGTACAGGGATTCATCTACCCCTAGCCCAGTCCCAAGCTGGGGTATTAGCAGAGGTTTTGCTTAGAGCACCACCTTCTGGTGCACTGTTTTCAGAGCTTAAGACAACCTCTCTCAATGGCAAGTTTATTTCTTCAAATATATATATGGCTCACTATATACAGGATCTAGCACCAGTAAGACGTAAAGTGTGGGGCCGACTGGACCTCAAAACACTTGCCTAAGGTCTAATATATCTATTACCTTTCCAGTTTTTTGCTAGTAGGTGCAGTAACTATTAAGACTGACTTGCCTTTGAAACAAGGTGGGATGTTTCTTACATCATCGTGGGACAGGTTTTACCACATAGGGTTTATTAGGCAGCATAAGTATTCATTCACAAACACTGAACCAATTAAATCCTTCCAGACTGTCTTAAGGGTCATTACATCTGTCCATTAGCTGCTTAATAGTTTTCTAAAAGCCAGATTGAATGCCAAGCAGGAAATATGCAGCAAAGCTTTTAGTAAAATCTCCAAAAAGTAAAAGATCAATATTTTCTGATAATATTAATTTATAATTATGCTGGTTTCCTTTCATATTCATTTCTTTTTAGTGGACGTGATTCCAGCCTGTGTATTTACTAAAGAGGCCCAAAGCATGGTCACCCTTATTTCTGATTACTGTGCATAATGGTAGATACAACACCTGAAATTCTGAGTGTGAATGGAAACCAACATGCGCTGTGACAGTGCATCAGAATTTATGTAACTATAGAAACTCCAGGCCTTTCTTAAGCTGGCTGTGGCATAAGGAATACAGACTAAGAAACTAGACAGCTATGTGTTAAAGGTCTACAAGGGATTTATCCTGAAGCTGCTTGTGTGACATTAATCTGTAGTGACAGACAGTGCAATTTGTGTATGGTAAGCTTAATCAACACCCTAATCCTAGCTGGCAACTCCTACAAATCTTAATTGCATCCTCTCAGTAACACATATTTCGTAGGTTCTGCCTGGACACTTAAAGAGTCAACTGAATGATCAAATAGCGTTTTTTCCCCCCCAAACCAGCACTGAAAGGCAACACAAAGCATTGCATGTTATCTTTTGTTTGTCCTTCTTAGTAAAATGTTTTAATTATAAAAAACAGACTCAAGGTAGGGCTGTCATTGTAATGTTCATGTTTAAGTTTGCGTTTCTTCTTCAGTGTTCCGTCATCATGCTGAGTTCAATGGCCTTGTGCCTTCAGTAAGGCAGGCAGAGGAAAGGAACAGTGAGCCAACTGACTTTGAATAGACTGCAAAAAGAAACCGGTCACCTATTGTTAATGTCCGAAACGATACTGCATAATGGAATAAGCAAAAGGGGATTCTATTTGCATATATATCTATATTTTCTTTTCTTAATGGGAAATGCAAATGTGCCATTTTGTGGAAAGTGTGCATTTGGGAGCACCAGTGTTGGATAAATGTGGCTCTAGGGTATCCCCCTGCACCTCAGCAAATTAATCATTGTGACACGTTCATGACCCCTCTAATAAGACAGGGGGCACAGTGCACCCCCCCAACCATCCCATCCCACCCCAGTCCAACTCCCTCTTTGTTTCTCTCTCTGTCCCATGGGGAATGGAGAGAGAGTGAGGGAGGCAGGGATTGGAGAGGGGGGTAGCTAGAGATGGGGAGTGTGATGTTAGACCCCCTTATTCAGATTGTCCCCTGGGACGCTGCCAGGCACAAGACTCCTATTAGGGCTCCGTAGAGGAGCCCCCAAGGAGCCACAAAAGATATCTCCTAATACCCCTTGTTCCAACTGAGTGAGCCCTCGGTTCTGCCAGATAAAGAGACACACACGCACATATGCACATGGACACAGGGCCCCAACGCAGTCTCCCAGGACGAGGGACAGGGGCTTAGAATCAAAACCATTGAAAGGGAGACATGCACAGTCCACAAAGAGGCAGATTCAAGATGCTGAACTGGACAGCTGGACCCGCGTCCTTTTATGTGTGACGTGATTCAGATTCTCCAAGATGTCTGCACATTTAGTATGTGTATTTGAAAACACTCCATGAGCAACGTAAAGTAAAACCTTTCAAATAACTCCTTCATACCAAACATTTAGTCTCTAATGGTTCCTCACCGTTCAAAACGCTTTTGCAGAAGTCATGGCTTTTCCTCTGATGATGCCAATGCCCACGACCAAAAAACTAAAAGATGCATTTTTTGCCTCTTTGTGCTTAAATGACCAGGTTTAGGAACTGAATATTTCTTGTACGCTTTTGTTCTTTACTGAAGTGGTAATCATTCCTGTCCTTGTTAATAAAGGTTTACAGCATTTCATCCTAGATCACTAAAGTATATTCATTGCACGCCACCACGCAGTCCAGTGCTTTCTGAAGTGAACTCAGTATGTGAGATGCTGCATTTGGTACAATACCTCCTCTGTGTAAGCATGACAATGCGATGCTCTGTGTTAAAGGTATCTCTCACCTCCCTCTCTCTCTACCCCACTCTTCATACTTCCAGCCTTTCCAGGAGGGGGAGGAAGCCAAGGGGGCTCAGTAGGTATTGATACACCCTCCCTGTCTCTGCTGTGAATCACGGTGCGAGCTAGGCCTCTCGATTTGTTGTTAAGGGGCTATTGAGCTGAAAGACAATGTCAACATTTTGTAAGACAAAAACTCACACTGGCAAACTAAGACACTTTATGCTCATTTTATTACAACATGTGTGTGACTGATGCTGATTGACTGAAAGAGAGTTTCTCATCATCTCCTGGGTAACAGATATTTATATCCTCTATCATATTTTTGACATTTCTGAATACAGTTAATTCCTTACCGCAAATGATGATTCAACAAAACACTGAATATTACATATAACCACATTATAAAAATGTCAAGTAATATTTGGTTATTAAACTTTGTATTAGATTTGAAATGGCAATAAAAATAGACACAAATATGTTTCGTTAATTTTCCAAGATCTGATTTCTATTTTATCCATTTCCAGTACTGCCCCATTTATTTTAAAATTAAAAGCATAGCACTGATTTTTTTTCTACACATTTTTAATTTATTATGAACATTTTTAAAGCTCCAGATCACTTCTTAATTAAGTAATAATTTCCTATGTTAGTCATACATAACATCTGTTTTGCATTTTTAAGTACACCTATAAAATGCTCAATGATTACTCTCCCTGGAGAAAAGAACGAGGCTCCTTGTTGCTCCCAGTGGACTGTTGCATTAGCATGTTACTTAACACTGTAGACCGGATGGTAGCGTCTTAAACTTGCTTCAAAGCCAGTATGAAGTGTGCTAACTGACAAGTGCATTCAAGCATTTAACAGCAGAACAACTACTGTGGATCCAAGGTGCAATAATTAGGAATACTGAACGAGTGGAAAACCCTTTCCAAGGGGGCATTATTTTAATCAACCTTTGCTAAAAGAATCCTGCAGCACCTATATTGAAAAAAAAACAAACATTTGAGC